GGAGGGGGAGGGGGGGGGGGTTACCTTGCTTGGTGATTGGCTAATGGTTACACAAGCCAGAACATCGTTATGACATCGTAAAGTGGCCAAAATCTGATCAGCTCGTTTTCAGACAGGTTTTTATACTTTCAGTATCTCTTTACACAGAGGGGAAACATGTTTATGTATACAAGACATGAAAAAGTGGATTTTGCATAATAGGTGACCTTTAATAAAAGCACTTTGAGGGGTTGTAAAGACTGAAATAGCGCTATATAAAAAAGGCAGTCCATTTACTAATACATTTGACCAAAGCGTCAACAAGAGTGTTAAGAGTCTCAGGCGATGAAGTATCCATGTCTACACCTTGATTTCTGACCCATGGTTGATATAGTGCGACCCCACCTGTATCAGAGGCTCCACTGAACCATATCCGGGCTTCGGACGAGGCCCCTGCCGAGGTGGAGGCCGTCAGGGCGCAGGAGCACCGTCCAGCAGGAAGGAGCAAGCTACAGGAAGTACTCGTAAGGTGCAAATCTCTGCAGCTCCCGTGATCATTCAGGACGTGAGAGCCCTCTGTCTGACACGTCACGTTGTAGAAAAGGACTCTGCCATTTGCTAGAGGGCGAGGCAAAGGCTGTAAACCATGAGAGAAAACAACAAGCAAGAAGAACATGTGAGCAGCTGTGAGATGATGGAGGTATAATCAGAATATCCTTATATATAAACAGAGATTGTATGAAATTAAATTCCCTCTTTCTCCAGCTATTTCAGTTTGGTTGAATCAGACTATAAACGCAATAAAAAGGTAGTTTCAGATAGAAAACAAATTAGGGGCTGGCATTGAGGAGGTGTAGTGATGGTGATTAAAAACTAATCAGATCCGAAAGTTATTAAAACGTAAAACGCTAAAGCTCAAAGCAATGAAAGGAGACAGTCATGACGCAAATGCACACACACACACACACACACACACACACACACACACACACACACACACACACACACACACACACACACACACACACACACACACACACACACACACACACACCTTCCAGAGCAGTGTGATGAGCCTCCAACCCTCCTTGTCTGTCTGTCTCACTTGCCTCCAGAAGGCTGGTGCTGCAGATGGAGCTGGTAAATGGAAGAAGGGGAATGTAAGGTGCAGTAGATCGTGTCAAGAGATGACAACAGGTTTAGACCAGTTCAGATATTATTTTTGGAGTGGTTCTGGACCCCACCCTGCTGTTCCACAGAAAATAGATGACAAACTGGTATGACTATGCATATTGTTGATGTGAGGACTTCCTCTAGTGCCAACATTCACTGAATGGCTTGGCACAGACTTTTCTAGACATTCATGGTGTCCAGAGGATAAGTCCTAAACTTAGCATCAACAGGATATGACATTTGTGGCTTCATGGGGAATGTCTCTTTGGGACGGATTAAAGAGGACTTAGTATTCACACATCACGTAGACAAAAAGCTATTAAAAAGACAGCATCAATGAGGAAAGAGGGAATGCCACAAAAGTTTCAACTACATTTGGATAGTAGTTAAAACATTTGTGACATCCAACCTTACTTGGATTTTAGTAAGGTTAAAAATACTTTAAAATGTAGCCAATACAATTTTGGATTAATAAGTGTGCCGGATGAATTGCCTTAAAAACATGGCACACATCCATGAATTCCTGCCATTGTATCTGGGCAGATTTTCCATTTGTCAAATACTTGGTTTTATGGCCAAATACCTGAGAAACATGACATTACCGTCAGCCAATGAGTACATAATTAGCATGCCGAACTTTAACCGCAGAGCTGCAAGCATAGCATCGTGATATCCTCTCCTGGCTTTCTTATAGAGTAGGAGCTACAGCGTTAAAGAGTTTCAACACACGGTACACCATTTTGTAAAGTCAGTTTCCCCTCACCGTCCTCTCCTGTCCTCCCCAGGCAGGTGTTGCTCCACGGGCTCCAGGGACTCTCTGGGCCCCTGAAGCGATGACGGAGCCGGATGTTGTACAAAGTGTCCGGCCTGAAGATACAAACTTCATAACAGAAGCTGTCGCCTGTCACCGTCACATTTTGGACCTGAGCATGGATCTGTATAGCCTCCTGAGACCCAGAAAGAAAAAGGTTTCAAATTTCCTTTTTTTTTTTATCACACAAGTCTTTAGGGAGGTATAAACATGACTAACAAAAACTAAAAATATATATTTGTATTTTATTGTGTGTCCTTTGTAGAGGACATTGGGTGTTAGCTATGTGAAGCATAGTATACAAACAACATTAACATACAAGTACATTTAGACAACATTAGAGCACAACAACTCAATGCAACAAATATTGAGCCCTCATTTGTAGTACTCCATCCTTTTTTGAAATGCAGAGATACATCTGACACTTGAGGCACTTGATGTATGTTTTCCCAGTGCATCCGTCTGCTATGAACCCTACAGAAACCTAAGTGTTAATTTTGGCCCATAGTGGACTCCATTTGTGTTGTAAAATGGGGGAAATAAAAAAGTTAGCAAATCCCCATGTCCTCAGAGGACATTCATAAAAACATTTAGTTTTAAGTCAAATAAGTATTACACTGCTCTGAAAACTCACTACACTAACTCCTAAGATGTTCCTTTACTGTAAATAATAAAAAATATTGAACTCACAAAACACTGGTAAATACAAAATTACAAACGTACCATTTCTCTTTCTATAAACAGTGCTTGTGTTGATGGACGCCATTTTGAAATACAATGA